CTACAGCAAAAACCCGACGGTCCGGTCACTTCATGAGGCCGATGACGAGGCCTGAAGGCTTCGAACCCACCACCTATCCCTCTAGCCCATGACGGTCGGAGTTTTTGTCTTCCCCCGCCATGGTCCTCTCCCCTTGATGCCTTTTCCTGTCCTGATGCACGACGGCGGTTCGTTTTGCGGAAACCCTTCTGATTTTATTGCTCCGAGGTGATCCGACCCTCACGGGACTTCGCGACGACAGTTCGACTCTGGGGTAATCTCTGGCACGAAACGAGAGCCTCCCGTTCCGTCCGGGAGACTCAACCCCTACGGCCAAAAATCCTCGGCCACGCCCCTCCTAGAACTCTGATTGGCGACCCAGTACGGGAAGCCGCCAGGGGGCGTGAGGTTGCGTATCACAGGGGTACTTATCATCGAGACGCCTTATCATCATTATCAGTTGATCGCGACCTCCCCCCCAGCCCTTGTGTATATATGTGTGTGTGTATGTGTGTGTGTGTGTATGGTTGTGCATGTGTGTGTATGTACTGTGTATAGGTGTGTGCCCGTGGGCCATAGGTATGGTTGTATGCTGCTCCCCACCATGGAGCATCTGCGACGTAAGTACTGAGTACTGGTGAGAGGTGCTCTTATCACCTCCACTTGTACGGGTATGTGTGATTGTGTACCTTGAGCATTGTATATATGTGTGTATGGATTGTGCTATCTGGGGTAGTATCTCATGTGTGTATATATATGTGGTAGAGACAGGTCTATCTGGACAGGACCCCCCTAAAGTCCGGAACTGGACTCGAACCTGTGACCTTCAGTATGAAACTGGAGGGTTCTACCACTTATACTACCGTGGGAAGTGGAAATAATGTGTGTAATGTCTGGACTGGGGGAGATTATCAGAGCAACCAAAGCCAACAACAACCAGCAACCAACGTGAAGACTAGACCAGCATACAATACCCATGAACTGACCCCCTGGGTGGTGCGCAGGCAGTGTCTGTAATAGTACCATGTGTCAGCCCAGGGGAGTGTGTGTCCAGCCGGGCGTCATTCTTATTTCTAACGCCCTGCTGGTGTCCATGCGCGAGGTTGCGGAGTTTTGAACCCACAACCTCATCCCACAACGCGCATTTCCAACCGGTGCTCTAACCACTGAGCTACATCAGTTGTAGCTTTTCTTGAGGAAGTAGCAACAAGAATGGGCCGATGGACCCGGTTCCCAGCACAAGCCGAAGCTGGGTAATGGCCCCAGTATTCTGGGTCGAGCTGTGGAGGGTTTCCCGGCCTCCAGTATGTTCTCTGTCGTGAAATGAAATACTACTTGAACAACAACAACAACAACAACAACAACAACAACAACAACAACAACAACAACAACAACGGCCTCCTTTGTATTCCATCTTCTGGTCGGGGTCCAGCATCTCTGTTTCACAGAGGCCAGTACTGGTGGTTTACCGCCCTCTTTTTTCCATGTGGTGGTTAGGTTCGCTTGAAAAGCATCATTACGTGCCAGCTATCGGCCCCGGGCCCCTTTCGGAGGCCGCCCGCCACCGATTCATTTTATCTACAGCGCTTGGCCTCCTAAATTTTCGTAGAAGCTCAAAACAGGTTCTCCAGTTGCCTGGGGCCATGTACTGGTGGTTTAAGTATGGGCAAAACTTGGTGCACAGGGCGGTTTTAGGCTCCGCATCAATAGCTTGGGTGGGGTAACACGACCCCAACCTTGCTAAACGAAACTCGTCGCCTGGTCCACAAAGTTTGGAGCTGGCTGGCGGTTTCGGCCACCTAAAGGGGGCTCCGGCGGATGTATGGGGTGCCAGTACATGTCCCCAGCCTCGCTAAAAGAAACTCGTTGCCTGGTCCAAAAAGTTTGGGGCCGGCACGCCATCCATAAAAACCATCCGCTGCATTTCGGCCTAAGAAAGGGGGCCGCAACCAATGTATGGGGTGTAATCATTTTTTTTTTTTCCTTCTTTTTTTTGAATTCCCGAAGGACATAGGGCCTCGTTCGACACCACTACAAATGTAAGGATTCTTACAAAATAGTCGTTCCACCACACCCTAATGACGGAAAAAACGAACTCTAAAACGTTTCCACATTTTTGGCTGTTAGGGTCTGGCCCTAAAAAATAAGGGCTGCCCAGGCAAAAGGACGAAAATCTCTAGGGAGCCCTCGGAGGTGACTAGAAACATAAGCCACCAGTACTTGGACTTCAGGAAGTACTGGTGGTATAAGGGTGGGACCCTACAGATTGCCCAACAGGCCGAGGTCCTGGCACCCGGCCCTCCTCACCTGAGATGTAATGGCGGG